TTAATGATGCAAATAATGGTTAAAAGAATATTTGCTGTAATGCGTATGCGACAATTTTCCTACTTTAAAGAGTTAAAAAACAATTTTTATTCATTTTTACTGTGTACTTTACAAAATTTGAACATTGATAACACATAGTCAAACAATTGTGTTGATAAATTTCAACGACAAATATATAGTATAGTATAACATTTAAAGAACAATAATAATCTTTTGTCTGATAATATAAGTATTTAACTAATAAAATATTCATAAACTAGATATTAATACAACAATAAATTAAAAAATTACAAATGTTACTATTTTGAAAATATTCAATCAAAAATATTAAACAAAAACAATATCTATACATTTGAAATTGTTCAACTTCTATAATACTGATTTAAATTTTTTTCTTTTAACAATCGTTGGTAATTAAACAAATCTAACAAAATCAAAATTCAATAAATAAAATTAACTATAAGAATTATCTTAGGCAAGTTCAAAAAAATAATTTACTTGATTTACTGAATTCATTAAATACAAATTAATAGAATTACTACTTTTTTAAAGAGAGAATTATTGTACATTAATAAATTTGATATAAAATTTAACTTTGATAGCCAAATACCTGTGTCAGTTATAGCTAAAACTTTATGATAAAATATCCGTAATGTATGTCAGACACACAATATATGAGTTATATCATTGTAAGAAATAACTAAACTGAAAGCAGACATTTGAACTACCTTAGATAAGTTTAATCAAATAAAAATAATATACTTATATATTATTATAAATATTTGTATAATCAAGAAGTGATTCCTTGTATGTAGTAGTATGAAATTCATACATTAATTACTGATATTTTTAAAAATAAATGAAACGGGTATATGAGTATTATCAACCCACATACACAAATACATGCATTAATAATTATTTTAAGTTAACACAACACACTTTTCATTCAAATTGCTTAGTGTTGATATTATACATTTACATGAAAAAATGTCACATTAGAAATACATGTTTTATACTTATAATTTACACCTTGATATATAATTGTAAGGTCTTGGGTCCGATTGGAAAGACATTTCCATAGCAATTGATATGCCATACTCAAAACCAATTTTACATGATAACATTGGTTTTTAAAAGATGAAATATTTTCAGTAAAAAAGCATTCAACCTAAATTAAAAAAGCTAATTGAAATCGTACTGTATTAAATTACCCATTAAACTCTAATAAACTTACCTATTAAATTAATGCATTATATTTATAATTTACACCTTGATATAAAATTGTAAAGTCTTCAGTCTTGGGTCCAATTGAAAAGACATTTCCATAGTAGTTAGTATAGCCTATTCTCAACGCCATAGATATTTCTGACATGATAACATTGATTTTTAAATGATAAAAGATTTTCGGAAAAAAGCATTCAACCTAAAATAAAAAAGCTAATTGAATTCGTATTGTATTAAATTATCTATTAAACTATAATACACTTACCTATTAAATTAATGGTGTGTCCAAGAATGCAACGTCAAAATAAAGTCGAGAGCAAATATAAACAGTCTACCTTTCGTCTAATAATGTATGGTTATTTATTATATCTGATTATGATACGGAATGCGTTAACATCAAATTATTATTATATTTGATGTGATGACCGTCGTAATAAAACTACTTGTCTTTGTCGAATTGAATGAAATTATTAAGAAATATAGACAAAAATTCAAATCTTTACAAAGTCATAAACAGCGAACAAATGGATGAAAATTAAAAATTCAAACGCTAACATTTTTTTAGATTTTTTGTCTTTATATTCATGGAATTTAAAACATATGTTCCCATTTGAAAAAACGAGGTTCGTACTTATTTAACGTATAAGGGTTGAAGATAAAATTTTTCTAAATATTGAAAAATGTAGCTAAATATGTACCTTATATATGTAAATTCGCAAAATATTCATACTTTCAGAGAAAATGAGTGTCTTACGTCAGTTGGATCACCCTGTATATATATATATATATATATATATATATATATATATATATATATATATATATATATATATATATATATACCAAGTAATTTTATTAACATTCAATTTTTAACTTTATTTAATATTTTTGTAAATTGTACTATATTATTGTTACTCACTACCTTTTATTATTTTTAAAAATTATTTTGCTAAAAAAGTAAGCAGTGTTAATTATATTTTTATATTTAAGGAAGTGCGATCACTGGATAGTTTCTTCCCTCACCCTATACTTGTGAAATTACTTGTAGCACATATTCTTAATATGCCTAGGGCATAGATTGTATATTTTGAATTAAAAAAAAAAAAAATATATAATTACACTTTGAGATAGAATAGTACTTCACAAAGTACTCCCTGACGTCCTTCGCATTTGTTTGTGAATTTCCAACTCCTCTTCTTTCAGCTATGCTATCCATAGAATAATCCAGACTGTCTTTAAAGTTATAACGGCGTCTCACAAAATTGTGTAAAACACAGCAGGCTTTGGTAATAATAACCGCAAAATTTGGCTCCACTGACATGTTAGTTTGAAAAACTCTCCATTTCTTAAACAGAATCCCAAATGAACACTTTATGTACCGACGGGCCCTGGACAATCGATAATTAAAAATGCGTCATTAAATGTTCTGCCGGTAAACGGTCGCAATAAATTTTTATTAAGGGCGAAGGTTGCGCCGAAATTTTTTTATCAAAATTGCTCTGAGCAGCAGTCTGTTTACGAATAAAATAATTAACAGATTTTTTTCAAAATCATACCAAAATTTGAATTATTTTCTCTTCTGTGTTTGCCGTTTTCTGTATATTAATTTATAATATTTTAAAAGTATGTAATATTGTGTTTAAAATATGTACAAAGAAAAACATTTTGATTGTTTTATAAAACATTTTTTTGAAATCTGATAAACCAGAAACATAGTAGATAATGTCCTGATTAAAATGGTACATAGTTTAAACAAATCGGATAAAATTAAGTACTCCAAAACAGTTTTTTCTTTTTGTAAAAGTTTGGCCGTCAGGTAGCGATCTTGGCGGCAAAAAGTGTTATACGTACTCCGGACGCCGCGGCGGGATGCCAAACTAGCATGACAAAAAATTGATTGTTGACATTATAAAAACGGATTATTAGAAAAAACACTTAAATTTTGTTATCGGTAATCGGTTACAATGTATAGATAATAATCTAGTGTTTATTCACTATCAAAAGAAGTTGAATATTTTGAATGATAAAATACTATTATAATTTCAGTTCCAATTCCCATTCGTGGTTGTTTTCTCTCAACTCTCAGTGTAGGTAATAAGTAATTGTAATTTTTTTTAATAATGTCGGAAAAATTAAAAACTTACAGAACGGGAAATAAAAGTCGTCTGCGCGTTAATGTAAAACGAAAAAAGGCTAGGTAAACAAAGGCTTGATTAAATGGTTTACTAATAAGAAGTAAGTGGATATACATAGATTATAGTATACAAAAAAATCTAGATGTGTAAAAAAACATTATTGTAGTTTTTAATCACTCATTAGGGCTAAAAATGAAAATGCATTAAATGAAGATTTTACACGGAACACAGATACTCCTTCATTATTGTTCAGTCCGAACCAGGTCGAAATTTTATCGTAAATCTCTAAAAACCTAGTTAAATTTTAGATACTATAATCAAACTTTAAAATAAAAAACCACTGGTATTTCAAATCAAACATCTATAAATATCCGAAATAGTCCACATTTTTTCTGTAATTAATTGATGAAAAATTCAAGATTTTAGTTTAAAAAATTAGATTTTATAGGCAGTTAAATTTTTTCATTTTGCGACAGTCGAAAATTTGGAGTTTATTCGCATCGCTGTTTATTTATTTTTGGCATTTTGAAAAACTTTTATTTTTATCTTTTACAGTACCATCTGTGTAAAATTTGATACTGGAAAAAAGACATGCATGTAAAAAAAGCACTTTTTCAATACCTACATAATTCGCCCACAAAAAAAAAAAAGTAATTGTAATTGTAAAACTAAAATATTTTTGTGGGTATCTTTTACAATAATTTTAGTTTTATTTTGTATTCTGAGCAAAATTAAAAATAAATTTTAGTGTAAACAATTCATTTCATTTTACCACGATTCTCTTCTTCCCGAAATCGTCGACCCAAGACTTTATAGAAATATGCCAATTAAAGAAAATGCTAAAGCAAATAATGTATCAAAAAAAAAATAGTTTTAAGATATTTAACATAATATTATTATTGTTAATACTATTATATTGTTTAAGATAATAGTTATAACAGCAGACATACATTTAATATATAGGTATTAATGAATACAGGTTGATGGAAAACACATACGAATAGAATGTCCCAGGAATAGTGGATCGCTGTACTACAACTACAAGAACTTTTTCTCACTGATACTTATGGCTATTTGCGACTCAAATTATTGCTTTCGTATCATTAATGTGGGATCATACGGTAAAGAGAGTGACTGTAATGTTTTTAAAATGTCAAATATTTAGAAATAAAGTTAGGGTTTGTGTCACGCAAACATTAAATGATCAGAACTTGTCTTTTTTATAACACCCCTATTTAGTCCTCTTGAAAGCACCAAACACCCACTGTACTGACTTCGTTTTTATTTTTTTTCCTAAATAAAACAAAAATACTGCCACTGAATAAATTAATGTAGCTAGTTCAGACTAAAATATAAAGAATAAAATATATTAATTTTAATTGTAATGTTACAAATGTTTTGGATACTACTCGAGGGAGAATATTGGGAAATAACAATAGGTACCGTTTAAATGTTTTACATTTAGTTTAATTAAAAGCAATCACACAGCTGCATACGTATAAGAAAATACAACGAATTATAGAATAACAAAGTTGTTTTAATAATAATATATAATTAATAATAAATAATTTTATATAATAATAAACAGTAATTTTTACATTTTTTTTTTGTGTGCAATAATAACGTTTTTGTAAACTTACGTCAATATAGTAGTCTATAGCAGGAATAACAGGCAAGAACAGAGATATAAGTAAGCAAATACCATAAAACGGCTAAGCCCATTGCCCAGACCTGATTAAAAGGCAGTTAAGGATCGTTAAATTACATTTTAAATATAAACAATACTGTTAATGTAAATAAAAACAGCCGGTACCCCTCAGACAAGCAGTAGCTTCACAGTTCACAATCTACAACATGGACTACATTGATGAAAACTAAAACATGGTACATGTTAAAATCGTCCTCTAGGCATTCAATTCCACTGATATATAGGTATAATAGGTTTATCTGACAATATCTATACTTACATTGCCTAGCTCTCGATCTCTCTTTCCTTTCTATTATTCCTATGATTTAGTAGTTTACGGGACACTCCAACCGTTTACGATTGTCTAGGGGTACTATAATGTACTGGGGGTCTCGCCCTCGCCGCCTTTCTCCATATATACGGTAATTCTAAACAGCAAAAGGATACAAAGTCCTTCCAACTGGTGTTGGAAAAATCCAGTAGGTACACCCAACAAGTCCACCGACTTTTATATCTGATCTTGACCGTGCACATGTGGACGGGCATAGTCGAAATGCCTATCGCCGATTCCGCATGTTCATCCCTGAAGCTGGTCCATCCGTTCTCGCATACGCACGTTCCGGTTTTCGCATCGATCTTGCCGTGGTGACAATAGACGTTGGACGACCATTTACTTTGCACAGACAAGTTATCGGCCATTTTCACACCTTTGCAATTGTTCACACTCTGTCCTTGTGCTCGGAGGATGCCTTCGATTTCGGAATTGGACACGCTATCGTTTACCGTGATGCAGTCGTTTTCGTATAGGTCGTACAACTTTGAAAACAAACATAGAATACGCGTTGAAACGAAGGTAAAGTATAATAACTATACCTTGTCCGCCGAGAGAACATGCCGGCGTTGCGCATGTAGACTGAAGACCTTGCAGCCGTTGAGGGCAGGCAAGGTGGTCTCGGTGGAAACGCTAGACACGCTGGGTGCCGCGGGGGAATGCGCGGCGTGTTCTCCCGGCGGACACGGTACAGGCATGTTCAATAGTAGCTACCTATATAATAGTGCTAACAAAGCTGAACAAATCTATGTTATTACAATAACCAATATTAAATATACCTATCAACATACCGCGGACCTAGTTTCTCGTATTGCTTTTGGAAATAAGATAAAAACAAAACACCCGTATGAAATAAAGCAATTTACTGTAACTTTATTATACATATGTTACTACATATAAGTAATGACCTGGATAACCCAAAATTTGGTTTTAAATTTTAGTTTTAACCAATGTTAGGATGGTCCTTATTTAATTTATTTTTCGTACCGCCCACTATCTCGAATTTTTCGTTATCTTTTATTAATCCTAAGTCCATCCCAGATAGTAATCTACATTTAAAAATATGCCCTTGTACTTTTGTTATTCGTTTATTATCAATGGCGTTGACGCAAACAGGTATTGGAACGCATCTACGGTCTGTGGTGTCAAACAGACCACGAGGCCCTTGATATTTTCTATGACAGTTGACTGGTTGACACAAATCTAATATATCTTCGTCAGGCGAATCGCACAAATGGAATTTCTTACTTGTGCTTATTGCGTCTATATATAGGCACATAAAAAATAATATAACTTATATTACCTATATGAATAGTTTTCCGTTAAACACTTCTCGGTAAATAACCTTAGCTAACCGTTTTAACCGCAGCTAAAATTTGTTCCAAAAGAGAACATGTTGGTTTTGCGTATCACGTCCGACGGCTGGTGGCCGCTACGAAGCAAATTTCTCCTACTCTTGTCGAAATGTGGCGCCGAAAATACAAGACGATCGCTGCCCCATATGCCCTCTTTTGGAACAGATTATAAGTTTTAGTCGATTCTTATTTCTTTTAGTTCGAAGGGGACAATGTGAGTTAAGTAATGTAAGAAACCGTATAAGCGGTTCAGACTGTCTGGTATAGGAGTCCATAATTGGACTTGCCTTGGTAAATATTCAATTTATCAGACCCTTTGAGTTGCTCGTACTTCGATTTTCTGTATAAAGTTTGACTTGTGACTTAAAAAAAAAAAAACAATTTCTATTTTTGCTAACGGGTAATGGGTAGGGACCAAACTTAAATTATTTCCACGTTTGTCTCGCCTTATGGAATATTTTGTTCTTTCCTTATTGTATTATAACTTAACTTAACAACATTGTGTGTCAATTGGTGTTGGTAAAACGGTTAAAGGTGAATATGACAATGATTTTAGCTACTTAATTTATTATCAACGTACTTCCCTGCTGCATTTCAAATATGTTTGCTTCCTGCATAAACGTGTTAAACGGAATGGTCTCTTTTAATTCCAAAGTAGAATTTTCCTTGTTGGACAATGTCACTTTTATAGTGCATGTGCCCTTTCGATTGTACGGATACTAAAAATGTAAAAGACAAATTATTTCATTAAAATATTTAATCACTAAAAATACTCTAAAGACTAATATATTCTAAAATAAATTAATACATAGAACAAAATATTGTCACTTTACTTTTCGGCAAACCATCCGAAACGTTTGACAACGTTAATCGATAATAAAAAAAAAAACTAAAATGTTGTTTAAGCTTAACATTTTTTAAAAAATTTTACCCCCATTTTTTGGAAAAATAAAAAAAAAAATTTTAGGGGTTAAAAAATAAAATACAAATACAATTTTTTTAGAATACAACTAAATAGAAGTACATTAATAAAAATAAAAACAGAGTAACTTTGTGGAAAATATTATATTTTTATTAAAACCAAATCCACAAAAATGATATACGTATTTCAACAACTATGTTGTCATCTTCAGTGCCGGTCGTCGAATGAGAAGATATCAGTAACAACATGTCTTATATAGGTTCGATGACGACATCGGAAATACCGATGGGTACACTCGTTTTAACGAAAACCAAAGTAATTTTAACAAACAATTCTAAAACGGATTTAAGTCCCAATTTAACAAATTTCTTTTATTTTTATACATTTCTATGGCCTCTCTTACATTGAGTTTTTGATTGTTTCTCATATGTTTCAAAAGTTGTACTTTTTTTAAACTATAGTCGCACACACATGAGGTGATTTCACATGGAACACTTCATATCGATGTAAATAAATGTCTTGCGTTAATTATTTGAATGAGCTATTTACAATTATTTTCGTCTCTTCCATGTTTTTGGTGTTCAACTAAAATTAATTTTAATTCTATTTTAAGTTTTAACGAACGTCACTAACAATAGATGACATGATCTAATCAAGTCGAAAATACGTTATAATTGCATTTCAATGTACAATGTATGTTACTATGAAAAATCGTTGATGTAGGTTTAATTATGAGTCATTTTATGTAATGGCCTATTAGAAAATCATTCGGATACTTTCATAATATGTACAATAACCTAACGTTATCCTTAGAAAAAAGTAAAAAAATTGATTCTATTTGTAGGTTTGAGCCGTTATCGTGTGTTTAGATTTGCATTCCAACTAAGTATTGTTTTTCATTTAAAGATAAAACGTTAATATCATTGGACAATGATTAATTATTATAAAATCATCAGATTAAAAATACCCCTTTAAGTAGCCAGTTTTTACTGAATTTAACAACCGTCTTTGCGGTTTATGTCAATATTATATTATATTAATGTATTCGAGAAAAAATTGTAAATAGACAGCTGATAATTAAACTAATTGGATCAACTAAGAATTCTTAGATTAAGCTATTATTAAATTTTAACTTAAGAATTAATTAGGAATAACTTTGGAGATAATTTACATATACTGTGTTTGACATACTTACTGTGTTAGGATATATTAATGTACAGTTTTTCGTACTTTTTTTTTCTGCGATTATTATCGTACCATCTAGTTTGATGTGCTGAAAATTATGAAAACAACAATTTAATAAACTTAAAAATAATAGCAATAATTTTTTTATAACAATTAGACTGAAAAACGTAGAGGTTTTAGGCATTTGATTTATGTAGTTATTGTCCGAAGTTAAAAATATGTTTGGAATTCATCAAATAATTTGATACCGATAGAAAGCAAATATATTTGTATGGTAACTGACAACAAATAAACTCATAACGAATTAACAATTTATTTGATAAAAAACGTACATCGCATGATTCGTCATTTTCCGTTATCACTTCGCAACACTGGATCATATCGGCCGACACTTGTACTGGAACTGTACCAGTGTTATCCAAAGTTATAACTACAATTTTTATATTGCAAAGAAATATTATATATTATTTAAGGAATAGCCGTTAGTGGTGACAAGTCTTACAAAATAGTAAAGCATTATTATGATCAGGATTCAGTGTATGGACGCCAGAGTTCTAGACAAAGTATAAAAAAAATGTATTTAATTTAAAATAAATAATGAAACTAATACTACGATACCGTAATAAAAATACTATCCAACGAATCACTGTAACACTGTTTAATAAATATTAACGTAAGAAAATAATACGGTTTTAGAGGTAAATTAATAGAACTCATTTTTATATATCAAAGTAACGTTAAGTAATTTATGTAGTAGGTAGTAAATCATGTCTGAACTACTGTAGTTCTTTAAAATGACAATGAATTTAAATAATTTCAGTAAAAATATAAACAAGTCTCGATTGCTAGTTCTATAAGCCAGTTAATAAATATTGAAATTTGGTAAAAAATCGAAAACAAATTTCTACCAATGTATTTTTTTACGCTAGGTTAGAATCATGTACCTAGTATAAATCTTACCCATCATAGTTAAAATAATTTGTATCAAGTTTATTCAATATGATTTAAAAGTAAGTAATATTATTAATTCTTACCTGCTTAAAATATTTAAAAAGGATTTTATTTTATTTTTAATTGGTTACAGTTATAGTTCTTGTACATAAAATATGTCTATAAATTATCATTGGTTTTTGTGTTGTTACTAATCAAAGTGGCATGACTATAATCATTGACATGACTAATGGCAAGAGTATAATTTTTCAATGGCTTAGTTTACACCGCACACATAGGTGACGTTACCGGATCATTATTAGATGAGGTAAAACGGTGTAAATGTATTAGGTCATGTACTTACTATTATAATTGATCAGGTCAGGTCATATTTTTCGCTTACCTCACCAATAAATGAACGTTGAAAATAATAGAGCTTCTGGTGTAAACAATATTAGATAGTAGGCCGTTATCACGAATTTAAATTTATGATAAGATTTAAAACTTAAAAGTAATAATTTATGTTTTTACATTCAAATACGTTTATAATAGTTTATAGTGTTAGAGTATTGTTAATATTATTTCAAGTTATAACGGTTATTAATTTATTATAATGTCTAGTATTTCAAAAAGTTCTCCAAAGAAAAGGACTAAAAGAGAAATTATGATATATTGGCTGATGATGGATTACAAAATCCCTAATTTATCAGATAATATTTTATAATGTATTTTCTTTTGTAATTTAAATTTGGTTCAATATAAGTGTGTGACACATACATTTTTTTAACTCTTAACTCAATGCGTTTGATTTTTGTTGAATAGGGCACACACTTTTCTTTTTAGTCAACAATTAAAGATGTTTAACATTATTTAAAATTGTAGTTAAATTTCGGTTGTTTTCTATGTAATTGACATTTTTTTTAAAAAAAAGGGTTATAATTGATTGGTAAATTATTCTTGTAGTAAAATTATTTTTTACTTTATGTTCCTTTTTTACTATTTTAAGAAAAGCATGTTTTTTAAAAAAAACTGTTATTACATTATTTTATTTTTTACTTTTTAGTCCTATTAAAGGTACTTAATTGTACCTAACTATATTATAAGCTGAACTTTCAGATGCGATAAATCACTGGTACAATAATAATCAAAACCCGCCGTGGTGGAATAAAGTATTTTTAATAGTTACGAAATTTCCCTGATCCCGTTCGCCGGCTATATTTTTCTGCTTTTTTGGTTCTATTTTTATTGTTGTGATCCGTGTAAATGTATTAAGTGAGTTAACCAGCGTTAACTCTTTTATATCTCTTTTCAGCACATAGACAGTTAAGTGTTCAGTCTTTATAAGCTTCTCAGAATCATCGCCTTTTTGTCGGTCTATTAAAACATTGTAATCCCAAAGAAATGGTATTGTAAAAATATAAATATAGCATATGTGCCTGGCCCTAGTTTATGTTATACTTTTTAAATTTTATATTGGTGTGAATAAAAAAATTATTCTTAATAAACTTATTCAAAATACTTGTTGTTTTGTTCTAGAACTCGGGGTAAACATTTTTCTGGGCCTGATAAAGATAACGAAGATCTAGATGAATTAGGTTGTACTGTGCTAGAGATTTCACTGGAAGAATTAGAAGCCAAACGTTCAACTGTTTTAAATAGTTTAAAACTTAATCTTCAAGAAATATGTGAGCTAGAAAGAAACACCATAGACCAGGTTTGAAAAATCAGTGTTACTAAAATAAAATATAACCGAAGCTTATAACTGCATCAATGTAATCCTCAGGGTAAATGTGATACTTGGTATACTGAACGGAAACATCGGCTAACTGCTTCCAACTTCGGCAAGGTAGTAAACTCAGAAAAAGTACTCTTCGGACTAACACTGTCAAGTATATATTATACGCAGAAGATTTAACATCGAGGACTCCAGCAATGATGTAATAATATTACTACTTCATATTTTTGATATAAGTGTATGCACTATGCAATATTACAATGCATTTGTTATTTGTATAATTGTATGTATATTAAAATTAATTATTATTCCATTTTGTTTTATTTGCCAATAGGTACAATATGAATTAATGGTTAAGGAAGCATTTGAAACTTTACACGTTAAAGTTTTACCGGCTGGTTTATTTGTTGACAAACAATATCTTTTTTTAGCTGGTTCTCTTGACGGATTGGTGGGAGATAATGAAATCGTTGAAATTAAGTGCCCACATAGTAGCAAATATATGACACCTCATGAAGGGGTTGTGGCTAAAAAAATCAAATTTCTGTCTCTCAATAATAATGGTGATTTACAGTTGAACAAAAATTATCATTATTTCTACCAGGTTCAAGGTCAATTACGAGTGGCTAATAAACTCGTGTTATTTCATAGTTTGGACTTCAAAAGGTAAATTATTATAATCAAATATTTATCTCGTATTGTATACATAAACATTAAAATTAAATAAGTTTTTGAGTACTGACAGAATAGTACAGGCTACAAATTATTTATTTCAAAGTTACTAGTTGAATATACCTATATTTGTTTGTTTTTAAGATATGTTTGTAGAAATAATATTGAGTGACGACAACTTCTGGAGGGATAAGATGGAAACCCAATCGGTGGAATTTTATAATCTTCATTTATCAGAAGAAATTGTAAACCCTAAAATTTTAAAATGATTGACAATTTTGTGTGTACATATTTTTTTAAAATAAATATATTACTATTGGTATTATGTATTATTATAGAATATTGTAATTTAGGTAACAATATACGGCAGACGGTTTTTATAACTGATAAACGTTTATACATCAGTTGATAAACGCAATACGGCATACAAAACCGGTTTTGTTCCGTGACACAAACGTACACCGCACGCTTGAATAACATTTTTACGCAAGCGCACGCACAAGTCAGTCAACGAGATCGATCAAAATTAAGTAGCGCTATTTAAATAAACAAAAATGCTTTTACAGGAAAAACTCTCACGTCCTGTAGAATACCTAGTAGGATTATAATAATTTTTTTTTTTTTTTATTTGAAAGCGGAAAACTTTTTGCAGTTTTCATTTAACATCAAATAGGGCTAAAAAAATAACAAAAATTTGCATAATTCAAATGTATATTATGGCTTCTTTAAAAAAAAAAAAAACCCAAAAAGAGTGAAATACTGCGTGTATATTACGATGGGAAGAATATTCTCAAATTTTTTCGGATTTATTTTCGATTATTTTGGTCATGGTTGTAAAAATTAGTTTTATAAAAAACTAATATATATTTACTAATTATAGTTTTTTTCCTCAATACTTCTATTTTATCAATTTTTTATAGTGTCATTGGCCATAAAATTGTTTTCATTTAAAATCAGTTTCTTATGTAAAAACTAAAATTATCTCAGCTTTCTGAATAATACTGATATTTTTTTGGTGAACACAGTCATTAAAATTGAGTTTATTATTTAAAAAAATATTTTTTTCGTGTTGCCCTAAATTGAACTTTTTTCAATTTTTTTTTTCAAAAAGCTGAAAAATGTTTACATAACATGTAGAAATTTCAAATTGGGTTTTCCATAAAAACGCTTAAAACACAAAAAAAAGAGGTAAAAATGTATTAAAAAGACGAAAAAAACATGAAAGAGAACAGGAGATGACATAAAACTACATGTAGTTTTTGATGCGTCTGCTAAGGCTCCACAAGGCTGTTCTCTCAATGATTGTTTGATACCAGGAGGCCTAGTACTGACGATTCGGTAAAATACCGAATTTCTAGTTACCGAACTCGGTAATCGTTTCCGAATTTCAGTAGTACTGACTTTTATTCTTACCGACTCGGTAACAGAACCGAATAACCCACATTTCCCGAAAAGCACCCACATTTTACCGAAAAGTCCCAAATTACATAGATAAATAATTATCGGCTATTATAGACCGTCTTTTTTCTTATCAGCAACGATGACCATCGATGGCGTATTCGATGCATCAAACATGGCGTGGCATCTTCTATGGCTGACGATGGCATCTATCGTCAGCTGTGGTAATATGTTGTTATAAGTTAATCGTTTATCTATTCATTTTGATAAACTTATTTTATTTTGTTATAATTATTATTATAATTTCATTCGTTTTTATAAATTCTCGCAAGCGACAAAATTATCATAGTTGTAAATATGAGTGTAAGTACCATTTGAAACGTCATGTCGTGTATTTAATACATATTTAAAAATCATGTTTTTTACTCGTTTAAGACCATAAAGTAAAAAAGAGTTTCGGAAGAACAAAAAAACATACTCTTATATGGAGAGTAATACAAAACTCGTAACAGGAAAATTTACTAGAGATTTTTCTAACGCAGATTCTTGCAAAAAATGGGAAGAGCTCAAAAATATATTAAATGCAGTGGGTTCTGGTCCAAATGACCGCGGAGTTAAGGAGTGGAAAAAAGTAAGTGATTTCAAATTATTATTAGTTGTTTGGTATACTGTAGGTGTTTATTTGTTCTAAATTAGACTTGGCTCGAGTTGAAAGCCTATGCTAAAGAGAAAAAGGCTTCCACTCAAAGATACAACAAGGGCACTGGAGGTGGACCAAAAGGCAAATCGTTAACGGAAATGGAAGAACGGATTATTTCTTTAATTGGTGATGTTGTATGTACTGGTATACCTGGTATACGAGAAATGGGCGGTGAATGTTCTTCAGTCACCATTGCAGAAGAAGAACAACAAATAAATGAAACCACTGTAGACGATTTACAAGAAGTAATTTAATTTTAACTAACTTAATATTTAATATATATTCTTACATTGGTTTTTTTTACTATTTTAAATACAGAAAACAATGGATTAAAATGAACTCATACAGTCTGCCGAGATTGTTATTGATGAATCTGAATTAAATTTATAAGTACTAACTCTGTTCTAAATAAAGAAGGTAAAATAAAAACATAAACTTGTACAATTACAATTTTATACATATAAATATATACATTTTAGTTGTTGAAAAGGGGACCAACACAAAAACAAAGAACAAGCGCAAAAATGAAGTCGACGATAATGGTAAGCCATAGGCCATATCTAATGTGCCAATTACAGTTTATTTGCGATAGTGCTTAAAATATTTATAACATTTTAGGTGTAAATGAGTTGATAATTGCTGAGAAAAGGAAAGCGGCTGCTTTAGAAAGAATAGCAATATCATTCGAGAAATTAGCCAATTATTTTACTTCAAAATAAAAAATGTTTTTTATTATCATAATTGTAATACAAATGTATATGAAAAGTAATATTTAAATGTAATAATCATGAATTGTGTAGATATTTAGGTACTAATAATCAAATTAAGTAGTATTGTTTTGTATAAAGTAAAAATTATTTTAAAATTAAATATGTTATTATATAGTATTATAAAAATACAATCATACAATTAGTATTTAGTAGTAAAAAATAAGATTAAAATGTATTAATCATGAATTGCTTAAATACTTGGGTACCTACTAATAATCAAATTTAGGTATTCTTTTGTATTAAAGAAAATCAATCTTAAAATTAAATATATTATAATATATAATTAGTGGTAAAAAGTAAGAAATGACTAACTTCACTCTAAAATTCATTAGGGTCACTCAAACCTTGTATAATTGTATCTCTTTGGAGTCTTCCATCTCGCAATACGTTTCTAGGTAATAATTCTAGATTAGCTAATTCAGGAAAATTGTCAAAACCGTTTTCAAGATTCTCATCTTCTTCAACATCAGGTAATTGTGCCACCTTACACATATTGCGAAGGACGCAACATGAAATAATAATTTTCGCTGCTGTTGTTGGGTGATAATGTAAAGTTCTGTGTTGAAGTAAACACCGAAATCTCGACTTGAGTTGTCCATTCACGCGTTCTATTATACTTCTCGCACGTTTATGCAAACGATTGTAACTCTCTTGTTTAGAGTTTGGTAGGACATCGTTTTCCGCGAGAGGTGTCATTAACCATGGTTCTAAAGGGTATCCACTATCACCCAATAATTTTATAGATGTGTTCCCATTATTATATAATTGTTCCAAAGTCTTCCTCAACTTACAGTGTCGCCAAATAAATGAGTCGTGAGTGCACCCCGGATATTGTGCGTTAACATGTATTATTTGGCCATCTGCAATCACATACTAATTGTGTGTTAATTGAGTGAAACCCTTTTCTGTTTACAAGTTGTTCTTCACGACAACTTTGAGGGTTAGGAACTTGGTTTAATTGGTCGGGTCATATAACAGCAACATGGGTACAGTCAATACAACCAACAATGCCAGGTAAATGATGTTTTTGATGAAATTGTATTCTGGATTTATTTAAGTCGTGGTTGTTTGGAAATGCTATCCAAATAGGGGCCAAATGTTCCACGATTGCATTAATCACAGAATGTAAACAATTACTGACCGATTTTTGGCAAACATTGATATTAACATCATTGCCAACGGATTGTTGGTAAGATCCTTGAGCAAAAAATCTCAGTGCTACTAATACCTATTTAAGAATATTAAATATTGATATTGATAATATATGATATAGTAACCTACCTAATTAAACAAAATATGTAGTATATGAAATTGACTTACTCTAGTCTCTGTCGTTAACGCAGACTTCCTTCTTGTTTCTGGAAGATACAACGTTAGCTTACAAATAAGGTCTTTGGCTAAGAGTTTGCTTAGCCAAAAGTTTTTACAAACTCTTGCTCCGTCATTTCTTCTAAACTACTGGGCCGTACTAAAACCATTTGTATATTCCTTGGTGGAGGTCGGCGTTGAATTATTCCAACTACTAAAAGATTTGCCATGTTTATAATGCGCAATTGTTTTTACTTAGCTCACAACACAATTTACAGACAGAAAAAAATGTATTTAACAATACTGATAAAACTTTGATAACAGTTTCCCGAATAGCTTCCTGACACCTTTCCCGCTTCCCGACACCTAATTGTTTGTCGGTTAAATAACTTATACTTTACCGAATTCGGTAAGAGGAACCGAACTATTTTTTCGGTAATTTAAGACAGATTTTAAGGAGTTCACTAAACGTGGAGTGCTATCAGTAATCGCAAGAATTTTCGACCCGCTATGGGTTAGGTCAAATTTAGGCACTTTTTGAGATTTAGCGTACCTATATCTCAAAAAGTGGAGCTGATAGGAAAAATCTAATGACATATTTGAAATCAGCACTTAAAATAATATCAAAACCAGCAAGAAAACCTTACGCACCAAAATGTGTGTTGGCCAGTGTAATGTAACTAATCATGATAACAACCATATAATTACACTTTAATAATAAAGTCATACTTTTTCATTGTGTTTAATGACAAAAATGTATTAGTTATAAAAGCTATAACTAATATTGTTGTCTTTTAATTTGCGAACTATAATAATTATAATTATACAGAAGTATTATAATATAAATATGTCATTTAAAACACAACGTTGTTTTTCATTTTGCAATTCAAAGTCATATGAATACGCAAAATCTATTTTAACCATTCATAGATTCCCAAAATATGTTGACTTGTAAGTTTTTATACTGATATTATTAAGCAAGTACAATTTAATCTCATTGATTAAATGTTGTTATTATTATATTAGATACCTTTAAACTTTATATTTAGTTCTGCCCTATCCACTAGTTTTTAGTAGTAATCTTGATGATGTTACTTTCAGGCTCAACAATTCCCTCTCCATCCTATCTCGCAAATGGTTTTTTCTTTCTTTTTAGCTGCCTCAGAAAAAAGTAAATTTATTCTCTTTACTAGAAAACGCATTCCCCTTGATTTGCCTCCAGTTCTTTTCGAGGGACATATCATACCTCCCTCCGTTTCGATTTCCTATTTGGGAATCAAATTGGACACCAAGTTAAGATGGGTCCACATTTTCAATATTTAAATTCTTTTGTTTCACGCTGGTCCAATTTTCTCCGTTGTATTTGTGGTACTTTTTGGGGTTCACACCCCTCTTCCCTTCTTGTTTTGAATGCTGTGATCTGAACCTAAGTTGACTATGGGTCTTTCCTATACTCTTCCGCAACGTTTTGTCACCGCAAAAAACTTAACTCTGCTCTTTTATCCTGTGTCTGTAGCATTATTGGCGCTCTTCCTTCTACTCCACTTTCGAGTCTCGAAGTAGAATGTTTAAGCCCACCTATTGAAATTAGGAGCCGCTGGGAAATTTTTCCTCATGTCTTTGTCCTCTCCTACATCATCCATTTTTCATTTATTCCATTCGATTCATTCTAATTCATGGCGATATGTCGTTAAAACTCCTCCCATCCTTGCTTTCATAAGTCATTCTCTCTCTTCCATAGTCTCTCATATACTTTAATCATACACCCGGTTACCCATATATGATTGTCCTTAGAGTGCTTTAATTTTCTCTCCAACTGTTCATATTGTCCCAAATTTTCTAGGTTTCTCTCGTTCTAATTTGACATGTCTTCTACCCCAAGTAACTAACAACCTCTTCTTGTATTACATCTCCTTATCCTTCACAGGCTCGTGTCTGATTTTTACTGATGGTTCGTCTTCAGCTTCCGCTTCGGGTTGCGCTTATTATATTCCTGACCTAAGCATATCCTTTTATACTAAACTCCACCCTCTGTCTTCTTCTTTTACCACTAAATGTTCCGCCATTTCCCATGCTCTTCTCTTTATTTACTCCTTCGATTATGATAATTTCCTGATATGCTCAGATTCCCAAGCTTGTCTTCTTGCTCTCTTCCAATCCCTTCAGCTCTACATTGTCTCCCATTATTCTTAATACAAAATCTCTTCTGTTTCGCATCTCGTCCTCTGGCAAAACCGTTCAATTATTTTTGGTTCCAGGGCACTGTGGGATAATTGGTAATGAGACTGCCGATTCCCTAGTCACTTCCACCGCTTCCTTCATATTGCCTCAAAGCATAACCACTCCTTTTTCTGACTTTCTTCCAGGTTTAAATGAAACTATATTACAAGCTTGGCAGGACAAATGGTTCTCCCCACCTCCTAACTTTTCCACTTGGCATCGCTCAATCTGCCCTATCATCCCTCGCAGGCATTGGTTTCATGGCCTCAATCTCTCACGTAAAGAAATTTCTTCCTTTTTCCGTTTAAGATTTGGACACAACCTTCTTCCCGCTTTCTCTTTTCTCACTCTTTGATCCCTCTTCTCATTGTACCTTGCATGATCTACCAGCCATTTGTGATTTTTCTCATCTTCTTTTTCATTATCCCACTCTCTCTCCTCATAGAGATATCCTTTTTAACCTCCTATCTTCTTTGGGTATTAATGACCCTAACTCCTATAATATTCTTAACTCCCGCTCTGTTCCTATCATCCAATCCATCCTAATTTTATGTTATATTTCTATGTAATTATGTATAAAGTTTGTTTTTTCTGTTTTCATTTTAATCTGTATTATTAATGTTATTCTTATAATCGCTGAGCTATAATATTTTAAATAAAAGCTATAAAAAAAAAACTATATTTATATAAATTACTCTCAGATTCTGACATCGATGACCATGAAATCAGCTTGCCGTTACCATCATGTTCTACAGCAACAGCTACAGCTACATCAACATTTACAGCAAAGCAGACTTCGGGTAAAAAATACTATCTAAACAAATATAATTCTAACTGGGAAATGAATTATAAATAGCTGTCAAAAAGTCATATAGAAATATATTTTTTTCGATGTAACTCATGTAAATCAGATTCAAAAGAAGGCATGTCTGCCATAAAAAACAAGAAAATTCAAGTAAGCATACAGCTATAAAAATAACTTAAAAGTTACATCTGTGTTCAATATGAAAGGTTTTCAAAAACCACAAAAAAATAAAATAAAATTTACTCAAATACCATTAACTTTTTTTTATAGCAGACCATACTATTTCGATTAATACCGTAGACCATTTAGTAGCATTATTTAAAACAATGAAGTTAGTACCAGAAGATTTAAATAAAATCACTTGTGATCGTACTAAATGTACAGTAATTATAAACAAATTAAATGAGTTTTCGAATAGTAAGATCTATTTTTGTCTCTACTACAATTAATTAAAGGTGGAACGGCACAAAATATATAAAACATCATATTGCATTTTTTTAATGGATATAATGTAAATTTTAAAACCAATATGATAGGTTTTGCTGCAGACATCAGTAATGCCATGCATGGAGCAAACAATTCAGTACAAGCTCTATTAAGAAAAAATATACCAAATATATTTAACATTCCCTTGCACTGTGTGCAAAATATGCCTGTCACAAATTTCACGACGATATTGAAATAAACAGAATTAAAAAAATTTTACACCATGGGCTCAATATATGGAGGAAATGCATACAGCTGAAAACGTAGCTGTTATTTTGGAAATTACCATATCGGAATGGAATTTATTTGGAAAAATACACGCAGTTGTACATGACAATGCTGCAAATGTTATAACTTCAATTGGTCTAGTTGACAATGTAAACAACAGCATACGTTGTGCTGCAAATACAATTTAGATTTGTGTAAAAAATGCTTTTAAATCAGTTACTATATATATATTCTTAGGTATCGAAAAAGGCAAATGCTAGCTAGCAATAGTTAGCCATTTTCACCATTCTAATCTTCCAGCTTCTGAATAAAAAAACAACAGCTTAGGTTGAAAGAAATAAAATTAATTCAAAGTTGTCCAACAAGATGGAATTCGTCTTACTTTGTGTGTGTAAGACTCTTAGAAAATCAAGGTGCTATTATCGCAGTTTTAGTAGTTAGAGATGTCATTTCTTCATCAATAGCTCTAAAACTTGAGATTAATGAAAGAGAGTGGACACAAATTGAAATAATGGTTAAAATGCTAAAACCTTTACAAGTGTTAACCACGGTTTTATGTGAAGAAAATGTCACAATTTCTATTTTGCGACAAATTATTTATAGATTAATAAAGAAGCACATGATAGTACAACCCGATTATGATGAAAACGCATTGAAAATATTACAGAGAATATGCAAAACAAGTTTAAAATGGTAGAATGGTTAGAAGTATACACGAACAAGTCCACGTAGGACAAATCTCTTGTATTTTAGATCCGAGACATAAAAATTTAGACACAGAGACGGAGGAAATTAAAGATATTATAAGAAAACACGTGCATCAGTTATCTATTAGTTAAAAAACGGTTGAAAATAATGGAATTGTGAGTGAAAAAGTGAGCGCTATGGATTTTTTATTAAAGGCTAAAATAGATAATTACAACTAACAGAATTCGAAATGGATCTTCGTGAACCACAATTAAACCATAACGTCTCCACCCTTTGAGTGGGTGGAAAAACAATGAATTTAAGTTCCCTAATTTAGCTTGATTAACAAAAAAATTATTTGTGTGCGCTATCGACATTGGGGTCAGTTCAGAACGGTGTTTTTCGACGGCAGGAAGTATCGTAACTTCCAAGAAAAGTAGCCTTTGGCCAGACAACATAAATATGTTGACTTTTTAAAAAAGAAATAACAATATACTACTTTCCAAATTTAACTTACTTAATCAAAAATAAAACAATCTAGTCGAGTCATATTGATCAGGCGAACTGCGGTAGGTTAGGTTAGATCACATCAGAGAGCCTACTGGAGAGGTTATCCCAGTATTCGTCTTTACTGTTCACCCAACAGATTGTCGCATGGATGTCCAGATTCATAAGTAGGTTAAAAGGACAATCTACAGGGCCCATTAACGAAGGCAGAGCTTAAAAAGGCGTTACTCACATAAGCTCATAAGCTTTTTGATGGCATTATTGATCATTGTCCTGAAATTTTAAGTCGTTTTTGCTTCCATGTTCCTACTCGAAGTAATCGGTCTAAAAATATATTTTATCTAAGCATTTATAAAATATGCATTATTAGCAGTTTACCCAGCATGTAAGCCGTTATAAGTAGGGGAGACAACAGACACACGGGACAAATCCAGTTAGTTGACATACTAACTACCATCTTCGGACCGTGACCTAATTATTCTAAAGCCATTACTTATTATTTTATATTTCTGTTAACTTTACCCGTACTCGTTCATTAACTCCGCCATTACCTGGACTAACTACAGAGAGAGCTTTAAGTTCCAGGTAGAGGTGTAATATATAATATGTACATAGCTTTACTTAATTAATAAACCTGTTTTCGTTTCGTTGCACAATTGTTATTTAGAGGTACGATCGCTTGTTATATAGCAATTATACAAAGGAGACTTTGAGGAGATATTTAAGTGTAGATACGGCTTAGCCATCCGTCCTGTCTTCGGGTCCACTAATTTGTGGCTAGCCTAGCCAGCTAGCCAAACAGACACGTTACAATTCTAACCAATCACGAGCTATTTACATTACAAAATTCATTAAATTACTATTGTCTTTTTAGGAAAATTTTATAGCACCTTGTTTATTCCACCTTACAATGGTAGTAACAATAATTAAATAACAATTATTATAATATTACAAAACAGTTATTATAATATGTTTTATACAGAACCCGTGAATACTTATACATTTTTCGTTTTATTTAAATCCACTATAAATACATTGAAATTGCATTTATTTTATAACACATAAAAATACTTATCATGCAGCAGATATTGAAGCTTATGTCAGAAAAATGAGACCTCGTCGTACTCGTTGAAACCGGTATGGTAACCACCAAAACGTACCATAAATTTATTAAACACTTCATAGTGTATGCGACTTTTGTTTTTCCGAACAAAAAAATGATGGTTGGTACCATGCGATGCTGTACAATCTACATTAGGCGAATGTAGGTTTATTGTTCCGACTGTAGCAGAAGCCCGTATTTCAAACCCACAACCGTCTTCCATTGTTTTAACAACTCTAAAAAAAAACCATTGAATTGTTGAAATCAGATATAATAACCATCAATATTTTTTAAGCTTATATAACAGAACAATGTATTGAGCATTTGTGTATGCAATTTAAAGTTATATAATATATCTATGCACTAGGGGTTGTCAAAAAATATACATATACAAAAGTAAAAAAGCCAGCTAATGAAGGCAGAGCACATTGAGAACAGGTAAGTAACAATTCTATAAATAAAAAAAAGAATTAGTTTTCCTCTAAACAAAAGTCAGACTAGACCTCTTATTTTCAGATTTTAAATCATAGAAGGATTACTAACTTTTTAATTTGAATAAAATACGAATGCTGACGATTTGGAAATTTTTTAGTAATGTAAAAAAAATATTTTCAGAAGTATCCTATTAGTTAGTAAAACTTTTTTCTTATCAATCACTGCTTAAATCTCAATTCAAATTTTTTAATTGTTTTTATTATTAATGTTTGTATTACTAATAAAAAAATTAAATATATAAAGTTTACTTTATATAGTTTAAAAATCGCAACAAATTATTAAAACGTGACTTTTCTCGTTTAGTTATTATTTCAGATTTCTAAAGTCTTGTGACCCCGACCCCACTTAGCAGGCTTTTTTCTTGAGCTAATTAACAATCGTAAAAAGACTCCAAACTCTCACCTCACGAATCCATGAGCATTTTCTTGTATGATAGAGAAATTATGCAACTTCCACTCGTTACCAGTTTCGGTTGGTGCCCATATAATGTCGTCTAGTAGCTCATTGCACACGCCCACATACTTAGAACCGTGACGACAGTTTTTATAGAGTACATCTCTTGTAACGTCTCGCTCTATACGCATAAAATTTTCCGAAAAATTAGTGCGTATTCCTGCCTCATCGACCAAGTACACAAGAGGACTTCTGAAGGCTTTGAAATGGATGCCAGTCGGTGTTATTTTTGCTAGCCTTTAAATAAAAATAGTTGTGCGATATGACGAACATGGTCAATAACTTGAATTACATAGTAACTTAAATTTTCAATTACAACAATAGACAATATTATATTCTTCCCATCCGTGAAAATCCAAAATTACTGCAATAAAATTATGGGAATTTCAACGATTTTCGTGATAAACCAAACTTTTAGCATTATTATTTTTAGTAGTAACAAATTCAAAATCGAATTTTAATGTTGGGACAAATTGAATAATATTAACTATATTATTTTGTTATATCTTCGTTTAGGATTATTCAGATTATAAACGTATTAATGATTCTAATGTTTTTTTATATTCTTTTGTTGCAATCACAAAAAAAAAAACTTTAAAAACTCTTTCTGTTTATCTCTGTTGGCAAATACATAAAAAGATTCTAAAGGTTGATGGTGTTTGAATATTTAAATCGATTGAAGGCTTTGAAACGTAAAATTATTTGATAACCGAACATTGATTATATAATAAATTACAGAAAATTACCATATTGATAGCTTTTTCATCGTGAAAACTAAATGTAATTAGAAATTGTTGAAACGATTTAACATTTTTTTATTTTAGTGTGAAAACTCAACGTAGTACACTTAAGTTTCTAAATAAGATTGCGTTTTTCTCAAATACAAAAATATCTATAGTACCTATAATTTATTAAATATATTATTTTTAACTACGTAGATAAGTAGGTACTTGTGGTTTCCTGAACGGCTGTCGTTTGCTTGCACATTGACGGTGTCATCTTTTTTGTACATAAACCCTACGGGATGCATTACGGCTGCAATGTTACCTGAAGCATTCACAGCAGCTACAGCATTTGCCTGTGGAAATTAAATTATTAGAATGACTTAATTACGGACGATGCGTTTGAGACAATCGTCAGTAGAAAAAATCGAATGAAACTCTTCTACAAAAAACAAAATATATAATTTATCTTATCAATTTGACATTTAAGTGTCTATAAAAAGTTTAAAGATTCGTTAAACGCCAACCAGGAGATTCATTTGTAAATCATTACCATTGGCCCCAAACAGCCAACTATATTAAAAATGTAATTATTACTGAACTAACGTTAAATTCTAATTATAGCAGATGCGCGTGGTAGTGTTTATCATATGTTTTAACTATAATACGAATTTTAATAAAATACTGAAATAAATAGTACACCGTTTAGTATGTAATATGTACACAGGTACTTAGTGAAGATATACTGACTACACTCACTAATATGTCTAGAAATTGACCATTGTATTTACCTGACGATTAACCAATCGAACTGACCCATCAAGGGTTTGATCCACTGATATACCATTTTCGAATTGGAATGATACTGTACCATGTTCGGTAGTTTTTACAATGTCGCCGCAGTTGCTATTTTTTAATTTCTATAACGAATTTGATAATATTATAGCAACTATACAGCGTTACAAACATTACAAATGGTATGTAGATAATATTACCAATGTGGTCGTCATTCCATCAGAGTTTTGAATAAAAATCGCAAATTTATTTGATGTCTAGTCGGCTAACTATCTCGAAATATAACTCAAAAAGCGCGTATACAAAGGTATACATAAAAAAAATCGTATTAAACAATTGTTGTTCCCGTCAATTTTAATAGATAATATCGTATAGCGACCAAAATAGGCCAGGTATTTTTTATAATCTTAAATTATTTTATCGTTTTTTAAGTAATAAGTACTGTAACAAATTCCTACATACTTTTACGAAAATCTGAAAAATTTATACTTCCGGCGCCTTAATAAAATAATATCAAGTCGCTAAAAAAAATTGTAAATGTTATTACTTTTGTATTAAAGAATAAGCACACTGATACCGTATAGTGACTAGTGAGTTTTAGGGAACTGCTAGATCATGTAACAAGATAAATTATGGTATTAGGAGGGAATTAATTCGGTTGTCGACCACACGAAAGAATAATCCTCATTAAATAAATGGATCAATGTAGTTACTCACAAAGTAACAGATAATACGATAGTCATTATTGGATTTGTTTGTTCAAGTAAGAGTAGACAATCTATGGATTTTATATTAGTGTACTTAACCTCCTATCGGTACACTAAAGTATTATATTTTAATGAAACTATTAGTGTAAAACCAAATACCCGTATTTTTAATGTTAGCATGCCAAACCTTTTTATTGGTGCCCTAAAGTTTTATATGAACTTATTAGAGTCGGTATCTACCACACAAATCGTAATTTTAGCATACTATTTATTGTTATAATTATTTTTCTTGTGAATTATAATATTACTAGTCAAATCTTTTTCTTTATCTTCGCCTTACATTCCCAACTACATGGAGAACTCAATTTTTTCATGGCCCAGATTCACAAATAATGAATAATCACAAATTGATTCATTTAGCGGATAACGTAGAATATGCTAAAATAGATTTTGCATCGATATCTGCTTTTCCGTTTGAAAACTATTTGGGAAAAATAAAGCGTATGATAGGAGGAAGGTATAAAATCAGGTCCAGAATCAGCCAGAATGAATAGTGTATAAAAAAAAAAATTGTCTTATCAGATATTTACAATAAAGCAAAGGTTAAAAAAGTAATCCTGAATGGTGTAAACCTAAACCGTGCAAGTCCTAATAATGTAGTAAGTTTAAAGTCAGGCGACATCTTTTACATAAATACAATTTAAAAAAAAACTAAAAAATAATTGTAATCCTTTTGATTATCCATGCAAGTGGCATAATGAAATTAGATACGCGTAAAGAAAAAAATATTCCTTTAAAAACAGCATACAGAAAAATGATACTTTTTAAAAATGGAAGCCAATGTTATATGCGGCTACATTTCTTCAGGAATATTAAATTTATGACTTATAGTCATAAAATATAATTCAAAATATATTTTATAATTTTACATAAAAACAAAAAATAATAATAAAAAACAGTTTTCTATAATTCAAATAAAAATTTAATTTTACTTAAGTTAATATATGGTAATAACAAACTGAAATTTTTGTTTAACCTTTCAAAATTGAAATGTTGCTTCAAAAGTTGCTATAATTCGTTCTTAGCTCTAACTGAGTGTAAGCTAAAAACCATTCCTCGGTCCTGAACCCTCTCAATGCAAGAAGAGTCAGTTGCCGTAAAAGGGTCCCAAAGAATGGAAGAATATTCTAAAAGAGGCCGTACGAGAGAGGCTTTTAGAGAACTAGAGAGCTTAAATTCTTTTGACGTGCGTATGACAAAGCCAAGCATCTTTAACGCACGACAACAAACTGCCTCTATATGGTAATGAAAATCGAGATTTGGACAAAAAAGAATACTGAAGTCTTTCTTCCTAGTAACAATATTAATGCTTGACCCATTTATCAAGTATGCGTAGCTAATAATATTTCTATTCACGGCAAAAGACACGGATTGGCATTTTTCTACATTAAAGCTTAGTCCCATATAATTGAACCACAAAACAAAAACATCAAGCTCGTTCTGGAGGGTAACACAATCAGTTACTGACTCAATTATCCTGTAGATTTTCAAATTGTCAGCAAACATAAGGAACATAGAATCTGGGATAACCAATTTTAGACCATTAAACAATAGAGAACACAACAACGGGGATAAGTGTCCCCCTTGAGGAACACCTGAAGGTACACAGACTGTTTCAGATTTACATCCTAAGACTTTAACACATTGGACCCTACCAGATAAATAAGATTTGAACCAAGATAGAATGGGCTCACCAAATCCAGCTTTACTCGTATATAGAACTTCAATTAGTACTTTATGGTCTACTCGATCAAACGCTTTGGAGAAATCCGTAAAAATAACATCCACCTGTGTTCGTTTTTCAATGGCCTCCAATATAAAATAATGAAATACTATTAGATTTGTAGTAGCAGAACGGCTAGGCCTAAAACCATATTGTTCATCAACTAAGATTGATAGGCTAGCTGGCTAGGCTAGCCACAAATTAGTGGACCCGAAGACAGAACGGATGGCTAAGCCGTATCTACACTTAAATATCTCCAAAGTCTCCTTTGTATATTTGCTGTATAACAAGTGTGCAACGAAACGAAAACAGGTTTATTAATTAAGTAAAGCTATGTACATATTATATATTACACCTCTACCTGGAACCGAAAGCTTTCTCTGTAGTTGTCTAGGTAATGGCGGAGTTGATGAACGAGTACGGGTAAAGTTAAAAGAAATATAAAATAGTAAGGTAACGTGAAATAATAAGTAATGGCTTTAGAATAATTAGGTCACGGTCCGAAGATGGTAGTTAGTATGTCAACTAACTGGATTTGTCCCGTGTGTCTGTTGTCTCCCCTACCTATAACGGCTTACATGCTAGGTAAACTGCTAATGATGCATATTTTATAAATGTTTAGATAAAATATATTTTTAGACCGATTACTTCGAGTAGGAACATGGAAGGAAAAACGACTTAAAATTTAAGGACAATTAATAATGCCATCAAAAAGCGTATATGAAAAATCTAAATCTAAACGCAAACGACGTTGTTTCATTGTTTCAAGGTTGAGAAGAGACAAAAGTAGAGAGTAACAACAATGAGGTTCCCTGTGTATTGAACATTTAAATAAAAGGAAGCGCAAGAATTTTTTCTAATTTGCATTTAAGACCTAATTAGTATGGAGACCATATTACTGATCCATATTCACAAATAGACCGTATCAAAGAGCAATATAAGGATTTTAAGGCATGTTTATCAGTAAAGTCGGCACAATTTCGATTAATAAAGCCTAATATTTTAATTGACCTGTTAATAATGTTATTAATGTGACAGTCAAATTTAAGTTTAGAGTCAAAAAGAATACCAAGGTCTTTATGAGGTCCCAAAATCCGATGTAGTATTTCACCATTGATATAATAAATAAAATTTGAAACCACTCGAGCCCTGGAAAAAGTCATTAACTGGCATTTATTATTATTAAGAGAAAAATTATTGATAGTACACCATTTATAAAAATTATTGAGATCAGACTGAAATAAATCAGCATCAACTTTACAATTTACTTTTTAATAAAAGTAATTGAAGAACAAAATGGTGATGAGCGTACTTTCTTTAAGCTGTATTTAAATTTTAGACTTACGTGTAAAAATTTAAAATTGACTGCCAATGATATGGCTATATAATAACTTATTTTAAGTACTACTCAATCATACTACAAAATATTATTTTTAGGTGATGTCAGTGATTCGTCTGAATCTATAAAAACAAATAAAACAATGATATCGCTTTTCATCTTCTTTTTCATCCTCCAATACTCCATTTGAGGTCCATAACAAAACAAGAACACCTTCAAAAGAAATCAAACTACATCGCTTAATTTGAAACGTAGAAAAGTATGTGATGTGAAAAAAAAAAGGAAATGGTAAGTTTTATTTAAATTAACTGAAATAAATAATTTAATGATGTACCTAACTTTTTACTGTAGTTAAATTATTTAACATTATAATTATTTTTAATATTAAGATAATATCAGCCGCGGTAATTAAGGAGCATCGACTTCAATCCCAATCAAAAGTAAGTATTTGAACTTTTTATCGTTAATTATTTACAAAACGAATGAAAGGGCATGTAGCCATGAGGAAATCAATCATCGAATAATAGCAGGGAATAAGTGCTATTTATCCCTGGTACCACTCTTCAAGTCAAAACTACTACCAAGGGGAACACAAATTAGGCTATACAAAGCTCTGGTAAGGCCTATTGTATTATATGCGTGTGGAGCGTGGAAATCAACGAAGGCAGACGAGAAGAAACTAATGACATTTGAGAGGAAAATATTAAGGAAGATCTTCAGCCCTAAATAGAATACTGAAAACAACGAATACGAGCGAAGGACGAATGCAGAACTTAGAGAGTCGTTTAACGAAATCGATATAGTAGGGGTTCTAAAAAGTCGAAGAATTAGCTGGGCAGGACATGTGTGGAGAGCGAAGGATAGAATAGTAAACAAGGTCACAATGTGGGTGCCAGATCGAACAAGGCCAAGACAGCGGTGGAGCGACCGAGTCAGAGATCTGAAGATCCTAGGAATCAGAAATGGAGAAAGATTAGCGTTGGGGAATCAAAGCAATTTCTTCTATGATTTTTGTCTTAAACTAGAGAAGTGTTGTTGGGCGAGTGCTGTACTACACTTTGCTTTTAAGATGGCCCCACAAGAAAAAATCAAACACGAGATGTTACAGAGTCTTGCAAAACCTCCACACACTATTCGAGGAATGCATACAGAGGAACGGACACCATCTTACTGACATTATTTTCCAAACTTGAGATTTTATTGTTTTGAACCTTGAATGGCATATTATGTACTCTATGTTTTCCAAAATAAATATTAAAAATAATTTTTTTAAACGTTTGTGAGTTATTTCAAATTTTCTTGTTTCCCTGGCCCACCCTGTAGTATTAGATATTTTATATTATGAGAGATGTCAAAGACAAAACTATAGTTTTTCCTGATAAAATAACTAACATTGTAACTAACTTGTGAAACGTCTGAAGACACAACGTGAAAAGTATTTTATCGACGAACTAGCTAAAGACAATAACAAGATCATTTTAACACTTGTCCCACTGCGAGCTAAATCAAAATGAACTAACTTGGCAAGAACCATGAAGAAATAAAGAAGAAATAAACAACGCGACGTACAAATTTTTGGACATAAACAATTTATTGATAGCGTAAACCTTGTGGACACATGTATAAGCCACACGAAAAAAGAAGAAAACTATTTCATAGTTGACGAAGTCTTGACTGCGGAATGGGCAGGTACATTATAACAATTATTATTAAAAACACCAGAAATATATGCCACGTAAGTATATTAAACATTAGTTTTTAGTCAATCTAATACCCTTCAAAAAAGTAAATCATTAAAGATTCATAATTCACATTAAAATGTATTATAATTATTGTTACCAAATTGTATTTTTTTGTACCAGTATTTAGGGAGGTTTACGAGATGATTAAGTAGAATAAAGGGAAACAAGTGGTGGAGAGCGGTTTTTCTCTGTTTATAATACCCATAATCAACAGGTATTTGAAAATATTTTCATTATATTGTATACAATTGACAGTACTTGTTTGAAATCATTTTCTCGTATTACACAATTCCCTGTATTATTATAATTATCAAATAGTTAATACTGTGGAATTTTTGTCTCGTAGGTTTGAGATATTACTTAAACTAAACAATCGTATATTTTAACAAGAGAAATGTAAAACTTATTTTCTAGTAACTTTACTTCACAGATCATCTGCTTTTGACTCTATCGCGCTTTATATAGTTTGCATTTGATAATCAGACACTTGAAACTTAGAAATTTAACACTATAAGAAATTATTTCATTTAAATTGTCTTGTTATAACTAGTTTTGTTTTCCTCCTTCAGACTTTCGTTCGCCGTCAAATTGTTTTTTATTCGTTTCCAAATTTTCGTCAAGTATAGTTCCTGAATATAATTGTTGTACGACTGTTTTTACATCATCTAATTTATAAAGATTATCTACTGAAGAGTCAGGCTTAATATCATTTTTCGTTAATATCGTTTCTTCTTCAAAAGTATTTTTACTGTTTAGGCATTGGGTATTATCAGTGATTTTATTATTTTTCGACCATTTTCGAGCATAGCACGATCCAAGCTTCGGTTTTATCTGATCATACATGCTTAATCGGTTGTAATTGGTATTAGTAATTTGGTTAATTCTAGTCATTGCTTTATTTGTGAGCTCGTTCAGTTTGTTGGTTTGGCAGTTAGCATTATTTTGATCGTCGGTCGACTTGTCTTCATAGCCACAATCATCTAACATACTTATCAAAGTCCTGCATTTTGCGACTAAATCATAAGTTCCTTCTTTTTTATTTTTATATAATTGACCATATAAGTATTTTCCCGTGATTAAAGATAAAGAAGATATTATTAGTATCAATTCCTTCAATTTATCTTGAATGGGATTGTAGATTCGGGCTTCCATAGTTTGCGAGGATACCTTAGTAGCATCGATTGCTAATTTATGACAGCAAATTAATTTCATTTGAAATAATTTCCGTAACGTGACATTATTCTTGTCTCCTTTTTCATGCAAATCCTTATTTTTAAAATCTTGTTTAAGTTCCAAAAGCAATTTATTGAGATCGTTAATGTGATTTATATTTGCTCGTTGATCGAGTGCTTTTGTTTTAATTTGTATTTGCTTAGGATTCTTTAATACTGGCGGCCTTAAAGCATTTTCCAAAATTGTAGCATATTTATTAAATGTATTGAATAGACGATTTCTAAGGCCGTGGACATTATGTAAGTCTGAAGGATCATGCAACGAATACAGCTTTTTAGAGCTAAACGTGCTGATTTTTTTTATATCGGATAGACTAGTACGTACAGCAATGTCTTTTACTTTATCATTTTCTAAAGTAAACGAACTCTTGGTTTCTTCAGCATTAATTGCTGCTACATAGCTATTCCATTGCCAGTAATTGATTGTCTTTTGGCGATCACATGGCATTTTTTTATATGTTGTATCAAATTCTTCTTGAGACACGTGTTGAAATTTAAAATCGGGCTCATTGCTCATATTTTCGAGAAACAAAATAAAAAATAACTTTTCAAATTCAAAAAAATATGCAACAACTGGTAAAATATTAAAGTTCGAACAAAACTGATTTGTTATTAATATTGATTTTGTTATGCCGATAAACTAAAATATTAAGTACCTATTATTATCAATGAATATCAGACAGTCATCAATATTACCTAGCAAACAAATATTTGCTTTGTAACTATTATCTTTGATGACATTTATTTTTATTTTTATAAGTGTTTTATTAATCGAGTTGTCGGAAACATATTATTCGTGTATCGCATTATCATATTTTTAAAAAATTGTATCTATTTAAATATGATTCACAATTAATTGAGTTGTTATGGATATTCAATAGGTACATATTTATTTTCTAACTCCAAATTATCTATCCAAAAAAAATAAATAAATAAAACCAACAAAATTTTAAACATTTTATAGTACTTCTGAAATAACAATTAATAGATATTAAACTTTTTTATATTTTTTAAAACTGAAATGTCAGAAAAACAAAGAGAAATAGGTAAAAAAATTGTAACATAGCATAGTAGCAGCATAGCGAATATAATGTTGAATATTTTCGTTATCTAACATTCGAATATATTTATCTTCTTACAACTATTAACAATTTCTTTGAAGATGAAGTTATCTAACAAATTATTACATACTTACTAACTACTTTAGGTATTTAATTTCCATTAAAAATTAATCGTTAGTACACATTGGTGAAGCAATTGAATAGTATAACGTTAAAAAAACACGTATAAGAAAATACAATGTATACATGTTTGTTGTATAATAGAAACCGAAAATGAATTACTGAAATCAAAATATTCGATAATGCAACACGAGTGGCAATGTCAACAACACCTTATCGGTCAACTTATTGCTCAGACAGAGGAAATCCGCTCACAAATACAACGACAGGCTGAGTTTTGTACATTGATTGGATCCACCATTGGTGACTTCTTGTGGAAGGCCACACATAAGCCCGACGTGATTCAAATGATTTTAGAACAGGTAAATAATGTTTTAATAATTTTAAACACTGTGAGAATCCATTTTATTCATCTTGAAAAATATTGATCGGTGAAAAGTACTTTAGCATAATTTTAGTTATATGACTCAGTGGTTAGGTTATGAACATAATAATTAGTTATGAAGACTACCCTATTATATTAAATGTGTATTACCCATGTATTCTGTAGTTTGAGAAATAATTAATAAGTTTATTATGTTTTTTAACAATAATTTATATTTTTTATATGTAATTAATCATTTTTACTGCAGGACAAATGTGCAAGGATGTCCCAGATGATAGAGCACGTTTTAAGATCGTTCTATGAAACTTATCGAGTGATTCCGACTGCAGATACGGATGAAGTGCGATTCGTGCTTAGCGTCATTGGATTGGTGGCCAATTTGTCGACAACGGACGCGGGCAGAAAGATGTTTTCGAACTCTGAGAACGGTAATAAAGTGGTGAAACTTATCGTATGTATCTTGTGTCGTTTAAAGTCGCCATCCGGGAACCGTTTGAAAAAGTAAGAAAGCCATGCACAATTAAACGTTTTTCGTAGTACTATCAGAGCCGGTTTGTCCGCTTATTTTATATTTGGTAATGTGGATTTAACGGCAATAAAAGGTATACGATAATCGTCATAATAAAGTTACCTGCGTTGTCTTATTTGTAGAGTCTCGTATGCAGCGTTATACAATATAAGCATTCATCCAACTGCTTCATCTTTGATGGAAAATATCAATCTGATTCGCACTTTAAATGAAGAAATCAAAATTACAGCTGATAAAGAAGATGTTCCTGATTTGCGATTGTTCGCCCTTAAACTACTCTCATCCCTTACTCACAATGTTTGCACCAGATCAATGTACAATTTACTAGAAAAAAACGTAAGAATCTTATGTTAAACATTTATTTTTAATTCACGTTTTATCGATTACCAAGTAGTTAATAAAGCATATATATAAACATCATTGTAAAATAATTCGCGTTTGACTAATTCTTTAATTTTTAGAATGTGGTTGTATTATTGTTATCTTCTTTATTTTTAGGAAGTTTATTCAAATGATAACATACAACAAATATATTATAATTGATGAAAAATTATATACTTAATACACAGTACATTTTGTTTTCAGATAACTGAATCGGACATATTATGTCTAACAGCAGCAGTGGACTCAGAAACAGAAAAGACAGCTCGACAATTATTAGAAAATTTAAGGAAAGTTAAAGCACAATACGAAAAAAAATAAATAATACGTAAAATCTAATAAAATTTATATTTCATATCAATATATTAAATAAAAGCAGAAGAAATTAAAGACAACATTTCATGTTTTATATCAAATGTTTGCGATGGATGGTAATACTTGTTTTAATATATAATTATTTACAGTATACAGTTTATAGCATTGTTTTTTTCAAAACAAAAGTGCCGATAACCAAATTTAGTGATATGGGTCAACGTGAGGAAAACGGAGTTTGACAAAATTAAGGTTGAAGGCTCTACTGTTGAACAAGAGCATGACCAAAGTATTTCCCATTAAAAATTCCGAATTTTTTAAAATAAATTGTCATTTTTCCTAAGGTTAAAAATTCGGCAGTTAAAGCTTGAAAATAAACATATATTTGGATAATTTCTACAAGTGCATAGGGGAAGTAGTACTTTTTTAAAGTAATTTAATATAATGTATGGAATATCAAAAAAAAAAAACAGTTTAGTAGTACATACAACTCACATTATTTTTTTTCATCCATTTATTTTATAGTATCTTCTAATAAGAACTGCATCTTAGAATTTGGTAATTTTGAAGATTATCAACATCGACTACTATAGTCGGGAAAATGTTTAGTGTTTAGTTTTGGTATAATAAACGGCGTTGTGGATCCTCCCTCCTGGTTTCGATGGACGCATGTAAGAAAAAAAACCATCGACTACTATATTATTTTCTACAATTTAAAACATACAATTCGTTTGGTACAATCTCGTATCGTTCACGTGCGTTACATTTGAGAACGGTATAAATTAATCTGGAAATGCATATATTGATCCAATTATTACATTACTGTGAACAGACAGTATTGTATATAGACCAAACGGCCACTATCATTCATACACCAGGGCTGTGAATTTAATACAATCGATGCATTTATAATTTTTAATTATATAAATGTATGATTATATGAATTGGTTGTGTTAAAATTTTAACCTAACCTAGCTTATAATTTTGATGGAAATGTTACTATTATTCTGTACCCCGAGCATGTTCTGAGTGAAAACAAATAATTTTAGTCGAGTATTTAACCCTTCAATAGATAATTTTTTTTACGTAAAAACGATAAAAAAATGTTTACTAGCCATTTAATTATCACAATATTGAATTTTTATATAAATAATTCAGTATAATTTTTAAGTATTACTGCATATTTTATCAATATTCATATTAGTTATTCTGATTCTCGGTATAATTCTTATGATAACTTATATCAGCCATATAAAATCAGAGGATCACTAAATCCCCTTTAATAAAATTCAGAAACTATTTGATATTTTAAAGGCACGATATGAAAATGAAAAATGGGAACCACAATACATGAAGTTTTATAGTTATAACAATTTTAAAGTTTACTTTAATTTTACCAATACTTTTGTCTAAGAGCTCAAGTAATTATGTTAGATTTATACATGTTCACGGCGAATGGCTTAATACTAAGTTTACGTTACCTATAAAAGAAAATCAGAAGACTATAAAAAGTTGCGATGATAGTGGTGATACATCTAAAAGTGGTAGTATTAAAAAAATAACTGATACATTTTCTTCATCTGAAATTATACATGCTACATAAAAAACACTATTTGTCCGGTAAAAAAAAGTATGTTTATTTGGATATTTAAAAAATTAATAAAACATTATTATACTACAAAAAAAAATCCAAATTTGTATTTATTTACTACACAAACATATAAATTACAAACAAATGAAATCATTAAATATGAAATTTACATAATATGTTACAAGAATAAATAATGTAGGTAAGAAAAATTCCTCCCTAACTCCCGAAATAAGGGATAAATTTTAAAATGTATATCAAATTTAGATTCAGCGTTCCTAAAATTATATAAATTTATATGCAACGTACAAAATTCAAACTGGCTAAAGGATGTGCCATGTTTTATAATTTTAGTCGTTAGGCTTTAAGTAGACTGTAACTTTTTTGGGAATAATAAATTTGTGTACTAATAACTGTTGCATTATGTAAACAAGGCACTGTATTGAGTCAGTTAATTATAAAAATCTATTTAATGAACCTTCTCATCTCACATAGTATGGTCACTACCACTTTCGACAGAATGCTTCGGTTTCCCAATAAATCGTAATTAAAGTCCACTAAATTTCTTACTCATTAGGTAATTTCATGTACTTTTTGATTACTCAACATTATTTATGTTAGTAATATGTATTAGTTTAATACTAACATATAAATGACCTGCAATTGACCGGTTTTTATATCTTTAGAATTGACGGGGTTGTCTGTTTATCATTTTGAAACGCCGTTTACTGTAAAATCATTTTAATATTTCCAAGACAACAAAACCATAACAACTAGTTATTATGTCGATAATTTTTTTTTTACTGCATTACAAACAAATTTCTTATATATTATGTCGATTTTCACTATTTGTTTTGTATAGCTAACGAGTAGTAGAATTCGCAATTTCGGCAAGTGTACATTTATATCCAATCGGTAGGTTAGTTAAGAGTTGGAGTAAAAATTTACACTAAGCAATCCACAAAATTGACAATCATGTCTGAACACTCGAAACTTTTGGGAAACGACTCAGAGCAGACCAGCTCGGCTTGGACGACTGGTGACGATGACGACGACGACGGAGTGCACACCGGCGCCGTCCGGCCTACAGGCGAATCAAATTATCTTATTACGACCCAGAGCAAGCACAATGACTTAGAGAAGACGTTGGCCATGCTGGACACGTCGTTCACCAAAGTCGTGGACCGAATACAGCAGTCGTGGGCCAACGACAGTTCCAGGTCGTCCGGACAAACCAGCAAACGCGACGGTAGCGACAAGAAACGAAAGAAACTGTTGAAAGCGTTGCCCAAAGTGGAAAATGCGTTTTTAGAGACGTTCAAACGCAGCTGGTCCGACTTCATAAAGCGATTTCAGCTGCAGATGGCCAGCGGCGAATGCGACACACAGTTGTTGTGTGCCGTCGCTGTGAACGTCAAAAAAGAGTTGCTGTCGTACGATTCAATGTTCGACCAAATGGAGTTGCAGCGGCAAAAGTTTTACGAACGAGATTTTGTCGAGAACCCATGCAGACGCCGGACCGGCAAGCACACCAAGACGGCAGATCCGAAGTTACCCTTCGTCCGTATCAAGTTGCCCGAAAGGTTAGTCTTACCAAATAGTACAAACAATCACGGTCTATGTCCGACTACGTAGTGTCGCTCAGAAATTGTAAAATTTCACTGCGGACCAAGTCGAAAGATTTCGAAAAGAGTCAATTTGCATTTATTTAAAATCCCAATACCAATTCTCCTAGAATTCCCAAAAAATATCCTGTTTTACTTAATGACAATTAATATGTTGGCATTTTTTGTTTTAAATACCGTTGCATCTGTATAAATTTACGAACAGAATGCAAGACTTCAACACCCAGAGATACCACCAACAAGTATCCGTGCTCAAAAGTATTCCGTTCGAATTATGCAAGACTCTGGGCGATGATCGATTGCGCTTTATGCATTCCAACAACAGCATGATGATCCTGTCGGAGGGATTTCATTTCGGACGAATCGAATTCGCCTTGAACGCAAACGGTACCTGTCGTATTCAGCAGCGTTCAACAATAAAATGGTAATTTTTTTTTGTTTCTTTTAGGCAACTTGTTCGCGGTAAAAAAATTCTCTAAGAACTCCGAGGCGTCAATAAAGGTAGCGGCCAAGCTCACTCAGCTCATCGACGGCGGACTGCTTGGCTTGGACAACAGTAACGTTTTGCCGTACACGCATTATGTTGAGTACACTAAGGGTCTGTGGCTAGTCACACCCGTGTGCGATTATAACCTGGAGGTGTACATAGACATGATGTACAAGAGACCGGACCTGTACAGTCTGAATATTGGCAACGCGGTCAAACAGGTGAACGGATCAATAGATAACAATAACATTAGTACTTCAAGTTTTAGTCGTACCTGTTTAATTAACTTGTCTTAGTATTAGATAGTGAACGGTATGAAATTCTTACACCAATCGAATCCGTCAATCGTTCACGGTAACTTGAAACCGTCAAACGTGCTGATAGGGGCAACCGGATGTATTCATTTAGCAGACTTCGGGATGACCGAAGTATGTGATGTTATTATAATTTTTTTTTTCTTTCGGTGACAAACGTCTGGTTTCTATCGTCATTTCTGTTGCATATAGATTTTGTACAAAGTAACCAAACCGCGGTCCTCGGACATTATATGGTGGTCGCGGGAAACTTGCGAAAATTTCGACGTACAGGCAAAGGTGAGCTTGTACGGTTTTTCAATATATTTTAATAATTGCTAACACACGTCATGTGTCTCGTTTTCAGATCGTGTGCAACAAAGAAACGGATATCCAGACACTCGGAATGATCATTCACTATACACTTACCCGGGGAACTCATCCTTTTGGTCAGAAGCTCCCGGATATCAACATTAACAAAAAGAAGGGCCGAAAATGTATCCAACTAAAAAACGTCGAACATTTTAACATTGTAGACCAGTGTTTGAACAAGAATCCGTCCAAGAGACCTGCTATCGTCGCGGTCAGCCAGTAAGCAAACTGTTGTTTATAGTGATTGACGATTTTTCCAATAACTCTTTGTTTTTTTTTTACTTCGATACAAAGACACGTCTTCTTTTGGTCTGATCAAAAGAAATGGGATTTCCTGATGACCTGCGTCAGAGTACAATACTTGGGAATTTCAGACGTCGAGAATAGTTTATCAAGGAAACTCGACAAGGTGGCTTTGAAAAATTGGAATGATTATCTGGTAAGATGTATCTCACAAAGCAGGAAACCACGTTCTACGTGACCAATGTAGATTATAAACATAACAATAATTCCTCTTGTATCTTAAAAGTTTTTGAAAAATGGATTCCTTGATCATTTCCTTCTAAACCCGTTAAGCCTAATCTCAATAACATTTGTCGTATTTCATCCAACCGCAAATAATTGGTTTGCTTAAGTTATTAATA